GGGGAACCCCCCAAACCCGCTCCTGCCCCACCCCCGGGGTCCCCAGGGCCGAGCCCACCCTCAGCCCCGGGGCGTCGGTGCTGCTGTTGTTGAGATTTCCTCTCCTTTTCCTCCTCCTTTATAAAGTGCGGTTTGTATATACTGACCTTACAAAAGCAGGTTAAAACCTCAGGCCAGCCCCCCCCCGTGAGCTGGGGCTGCCCCGGCCCAGCCCGAGCCCTTCCGGTGTTCGGTGTGCAGGTGGCAGGTGACATCCTGCACCAGTGACACCCTCACCAGGGACATCCTTCATCAGCCCCAGGGGGACAGGCTGTGGGGACATGAGTCCAGTGCAAGGAGACAGGGCAGGGCTCAGTCACTCCCCTCCCCAGAGCCTGGTGTCCCCCAGCGTGGGGGACCTTCTGGACTCGGAGTGTGGCACCGTGGTGGCCGAGGACATGGCCCTAAGGACGTACTGGCCGGGGACATGGCCCTGAGGACATGGTGGCCAAGGACATGGCCCCATGGCTCAGTTGACGGTGCCATTCAGGCCCCCTCCCTCTGCGCTCTCAGTCCCGGTGTTGGGGGTCCCAGCTCCGCTCAGCCCCTGCAGCCCGACAGCACCTGTAGGGAAGAGAGGGAGCGACAGGTCAGGAGCCATGGCAGCACAGCGTGACCTGCCATGTGCTGGCCTGGCCTCTGGACTCTCCTGCCACTGGCACCAGGGGCCTGACCCGGCACATCCCCAAGCAGCACAAGGAAGTGCTGTCCTGCCCCTCACCCCTGAGCAAGGCACTGGCACCCAGCTGGCAGCAGCACCGGTGCCAGGGTCCCTGGCCTGGCAAAGGTCACCCCAGCCCCACACGTCTCCCCAAATGTCTCCCACGTTTGCTGCCAGCACGCAGAGCTGCTCCCATCACCCCTCCGGGCCCCAGCGTGGCCATGGCTGGGCTGGGCAAAGTGGTTCTGCCAGGCTGGGGGCTCTGTCTCCCAGGAGGGCACAGCAGGCAGACACAGCCCCCGCTCTGGGGCAGCAGCAGCAGCAGCAGAAGCGGGACAGTGGCCCTGCCCCATGTCCTACCATGAGGGTCCCCCGCGAGCGTGGCCGCAGCCAGCCCGGTCACAACAGGGTGATCACAACTGGGGCCATCTGCAAAGACACTTCGGCTTTAGCCCAGACTGGCACTGGCCATGGGGCTCCCTGTGCCCCCAGCCCTGTGTGGGCCCCCCTCAGTCCCCGGCCCCACTCACGGTAGCGGACGCGGATGGGCCACACCATGATGCAGCAGAGCGTGACCACGGCAGCCACGGCGATGCCGCCGGTCACCAGCACCATCACCCAGCGGTAGAAGTCGATGCAGGCGGAGCAGCACAGCTCAGTCCTGGGGGGACAGGCAAGGGACAAGGCTGGGGGACAGCGGTCCCATGTCCTGGGAGTCAGGACTGGCTCATACTGGGTTGTGAGGGAAAGGAGAGAGGGTGGCAACCCAGACACTGAGATCCCCAGAGCACAGCTTGGGCTCTTGTCCAGGGCCAGGAGGGAATGCGAGGAAGGGTTTAAGACAAATCAGAACTGGAGAACTGAAGGCTCCAGGGAGACCTTAGACCTTCGGGTACTTCTGGTACTCTCTCTCCAGGAGAGCTGGAGAGGGACTTTGGGAAAGGGTCTGGAGGGACAGGACAAGAGAGAATGGCTTCCCACTGCCAGAGGGCAGGGTGAGATGGGATACTGGGAAGGAATTCTTGGCTGTGAGGGTGGGGAGGCCCTGGCACAGGTTGCTCAGAGCAGCTGTGGCTGCCCCATCCCTGCAAGTGTCCAAGGCCAGGCTGGACGGGGCTTGGAGCAATCTGGGCTAGTGGAAGGTGTCCCTGCCCATGGCAGGGGGTGGAACAAGATGAGCTCTTAGATCTCTTCCAAGCCAAACCATCCCGTGACTCTAAAAATCAGAGCTGTTTCCCACCCGTGCCTGTTGCTCCAACCCTGGGATATTTGCTCCTGGCCCCCAGGCAATGGGGGGGGTGTCCCTGCCCCACAGACACTCACGGGCAGGGGTGCAGGTTCTGGATCAACATCACAGCCAGGCCATTGGCCATCTTGTCCGTGAAGCTCATGGCACCATAGACAAATGCACTGCTGTGCTGCAGGAGGAGAGGGAACCTCAGCGGGTGCCGTGCTGAGCTGAGCTGTGCCACACAACCCCGCGCAGCCGGAGCCTTGTGCCCTCTCATGGGCAGAGCCCACACTGCAGCACAGCCCAGCACAGGCTCACTGCTGCCATCCCCGGTCCATCCCCCTAGGAACGGCCCTACCGTGTTGGTGCCGATGAGATCCGCTGTCATGGACAGGGAGGTGACCAGGATGGTGGCAGAGCCAGCCCCCAGCAGCACGGCCGCTCCATAGACCTCAGCTCCCATCGGCTTGGCCAGGGCCACCCAGGAGGCGAAGGCCAGGACCACCAGGATGCCCACGAAGTAGGTCAGCTGGGACAGAGAGGGGCAGAGGGACAAGGGGGAGTTCAGACACCAGCTTGGCACCACAGGCAAGCAGAGAGGGCACAGGGGCCAGCAGTACCCAGGACCCACGAGGGACAGCCCTGGCTCTGTCCTAGCTGGATTTAAACAAGAAGCCCCCAAGAGCACCACCTTGCCATGGTCTGGGCTGTTCTGCAGCTGGAGAGCTGAGCCCTGGGGAGAGCTGTGGGCACAGTGTCCCTGAGTTCAGGGGACACTCCACTGGCACCCAACAGCATGAAGGGGACACACTGGGGGGGCAGCTCCCTCCTGCTGGCACTGCAGACCCTGTGCCCACCTGGGGCGGTGCAGCCAGACCCCCCTCTGCCCATCTCAGGCACCTCAGGGCTCTCCAGCCTGGTCAGGGCTGCACAGCACAGGGTGGCTGTGGACCAGCACCACCTTCCCCAGCCTCAGGATGTGCAGGACAGGCCCTCATCCCCACACCTGCCCACCACCCCCAGTCCCAGTGGGACCCACAGTGCAGTGGAGGGTTGCTGGCAGAGGGTACATGAGGGGTCCCTGCTCTCCAGCTCAGAGGTGCTGGGTGCTCTGCCCACAGCCAGGATCTGGCCCCTGCTGGGGTCTAACTCCAACCTCTCCAGTGCCCCCAGACTCACATTCCGACCGATCCACTTGTTCACAGGCTTCATGAGGAAGGAGGAGAGGAACCCGCTGACATACATGACCAGGGGGATGGTGGCGATGTATTTCTGCAAGGGACAGGGAGGAGATGATCTCTGGGCACCAGGACCCTGCCCAGGCGCCCCCAGACCTGCCCTGTGCCCACCTTGGAGAGCATCAGCGAGTTGGTCAAGTACATGGCGATGTAGGTCTGGGACAGGTTGACGATGAGGCGGGTGGACATGTAGAGCACTGCCACCTGTGAGGGGACAGGGACAGGGCAGCCCCGCTCAGCCCGTGGGGAGGCACCTTCCCTGCCCAGCTGTCACAGAACTGTGCCCACCCAGAAGGGCACAGCCCCTCTGACAGGTTGGGTGCCCAGTACAGCCCCTCCCTGCACCCTCCACATCCCCAGTGCCCAGGCAGGCAGCCCCCTGGGCCAGGTGAGCCCTGCCCAGCTGTACCTGGTAGAAGGAGGGCTCCAGCAGCCAGTGCTTCCAGAGCAGCAGCGGGCGTGGGGGGCTCGGGGGCTCCTTGTGCAGCAGGGGGGTGGTCTCCTCCAGGTCGGGCAGCACACCCGGTGGGTACGGCTTCTCCTTGGTGCCCAGGTGGAAGATGAGGGAGGACACGGCCCCCAGCCCCACCACGATGAGGGCCAGGTTCTGGTGAAGCAGAGGGGGTGAGCACAGCAGGGGAGGTGGCCCATCATCAGCCCCCCAGCAGTCTGGAGGGTAAGGAGGGGTTCCCAAAACCCCAGGGAGGGCTCGGTGTGGCCCTTGCCCAGCACAGTCAGGGAGGTGAGGGCACTGCCCTCTTGCCCCTGGCAGCACCTCCCCAGCTGAGAAGTGGGAACCCCAGGGACTGTTCCCTGCCACTCACCCGAAACACAGGGACATCCTGGGGGCCCAGGTGCTCCATGTGGTCAGGCTGGTCTGTCTGGAAGTTGAGCAGGAGCCAGGTCAGGCCGTACACAGTGATGTTGGCCATGACGGTGAAGGCATACCTGAGTGGGAAGGGAACCTCAGGGGGATGTGGAGGGACAAGCATGGGGACAGCACAGTGGGACATCTCAGCCCATTGCTGTGCTACAGCCTCTGCACTCCGGTGTCGTGGCTGAGGGGACACCTCCAAGGGCATGAGGCACCTGCCCAGGCATCAGCCTTACTGGTGCTACTCCCAGCATGCCCAGTCCAACCCTCGGGGCACGACTGGGAGGAAACCAAGATCCCTCTGGGTCAGCCTGTCACCTTCCAGGCACAGCTCACCTCTGCCTCGAGGATCTCACGAGCTGCCTGACCTGGTGCCCCCAGAGCTGGACCCCGGGGTTATCCCAGTGCTGCCCCACATCCTCCCTGCTCACCCTGTGGGACGAAGAGCCCATCCCACATCCTGATCCTGCCTGAGGAGTGGTTCCATGCAGGGAGCCAGATGCATTGCCCACCTGGCCCTGGGGACATCCCATCTCTGGGTCAGCCCCCACAGCCATGCCCAGCTCTCCCCAAGGGCACCCAGGGGGGCACAGTCCCTGCCCTGTGAGCACCAATCCCAAAGGAGAAGTGTCCCATGGGCTGTCACCATCACCAGCATCAAGACAGTCCCTCCTGGCACCAAAGAGTTTGAGCCACCAACCCAGGACACCAGTGTCCCTTGGTACATCCCATGGGACCCCCTCGGGGCCCAGCCCTGGTCCTGCCATGCTGAGGACTCTGATGTGCCACAGCACCCAGGGACCTCCTGTCACACAGCAGTGGGACCTGGGGTGGGCAGGGTGGCTCCCCCAGACCCAGGGGACCCCCGGGTGTGTCCGTGCTCACCTGAAAGCCGTGAGCTCCACCTTCTCATGGTCACTGCTCACCAGCTCGGGGATGAGGGCCAGGTGGGACACCTGCGTGGCTGCCCAGCCAAACTGGAAGATGACGATGAACGGGAGGTAGTAGATGAAGGCTGCCCACTGTGGAGTGCCCTCCCTGCAGGCCAGGCAGGGGCTGAACACGAAGGGGAAGGACACGAGGACGCAGGTGGTGCCTGAGGAGAGAGTGGAGCACTGAGAGGCTGCACATGCAAGACATGGCCAGAGTGCCACTGTCCCACCCCAGGACAGGTTCCACCCCAGAGCTCGGGAGGGATGTTGGCCCCTTTCCCCAGCAAGGTGACACAGGTGGAGCCTCAGACACCCCCTGAATCCTGCACAAGGAATGTTTTCCCCCTGTCACACCCAGCACGGACAGTCACTCCCCAGTCAAGGTCCCTCCCCAGCACAGCACCGCTCTGTCCCCTCAGAACACCAGGACAGCCCTCACTGTCACATCACAGCCACCAAGAGTGTCCCAGGTGCAGATAACCAGCCCAGGGACACCCCTCCCTGCTGCCTGCCCGTGGTGATACAGCCCCCGAGGGCCAGGAGGCTCCGGGTGTCCCACGGGCACAGGCAGCCTGGCTGTCCCCACGTCCCCTCTCCCCTGGGGCGGGCACAGGGAGCCACACTCATGGATGTCACCCACAGTGTGACGGGTGACGCTGAGCCACGGGGGCTCTGAGCCATGGGAAGGCCCTGCTGAGTCAGGGACAGCAGAGCCAGGCTCCTCCTCCTGCTGCAGCGGGACAGCACAGGGACGCTGCGTGGGGACGCTGCCTGTGGGGACCCTGAGTGGGGACCCTGAGTGGGGCAGGCAGGTGGCCTGGCCTCTCCCTCCCCTTCCCAAAGTTATGGAGCTGATCTGCCAAGTGGCTCCATGGCCCCTCTGACCCTGATGCAGAGCCAGCCCCATGCCCTGTCCCATGTGTCCCTAGCCACACTGGGTGCTGCTGAAGGGCCACGGGAACCTGTTCCTACAGCTGAGGGGAACCTGCAGCCACTTTGCCAGGTCCCAAGGTCCCAAGGTCCCCAAGGTCCCCTCTCCAAGGGACTTTGTAAGACCCTCCTCTTTCTCACAAGTGATGCCTCTTCCTCTCACCCACAAAGGGCAGTTCCTCCTCCTCACTCCCACACAGCAATGCAGGGCTGGGGCAAAGAGGTTCTCCCTGTGCCAAGGGCAGCAGTGGCAATCCCAGCCCAGCTTCATCCACCCCAGCAGGGCCCGGGTGGGAACTGGGTGCTCACAGCCAGCCTTGGTGCTCCAGGAGCTCCCAAAGGATGGGGGACTTGGGCACACATGGTGCCTCTGCCCCAGACAAGCCACAGGCACAGGAAGGTCCAAGAAGGTTCAAACCAGCCCAGCCCTTGGATGGGGCTGTTGGTTTTAACTGAGCTCAACTGGGAGGCAGGGGGGTTCCAGGGCCCTGCAGGGTCAGGCTCTGCAGCCCCCCGAGGGCTGTGTGGGCCATGCCTGTGCTCTCAGAGGAGCACTGGGGCAGGAGCTGTGGGTCCTCAGCTGCTGCAGCTTCCACGGCCGCCCCTGTGCCCACCCACGAGCCACTGCCACCAGCACACACACACAGGACTGTCACCCCCTCCTCTTTGTGGCCCCCCAGGACACACAGAGCCCACTGCTGGGTCACCCCCGTGGCCACCCCACAGAACCGTGCCCCTCTGGCATGGGGCTGCACCCCAACACCCCCAGTCTGCCCAGGTGTGGCTGCACTGTGAGTCAGAGGGGCCTGGGGGACCCCCTCCTCTCCCAACAGGGGCCATGGGAGCCCCACAGGACCGCCCTGCCCATCCCTGAGAGCAGACAGAGTGCTGGGCTCTCATCTCCAGCCCCGCGGGGCAGGACCACGGGAATGCCAGGCACGGGCACCTGCGGCAGGAAGCCGGACCCCACAAAAGAGGCGCCGAGCAGGCGGGGACCGCCGGCGGGGACAGCCCGCACCGCGGCCGCGGCGGGGAGATGCCTCCGATAGCAACTCGTGGTGTCTCCCCCGCCCCGAGGCTGCGGTTTCACAACGTTTCCTCCGATCTCAGCACGGGTTTGCCACCGGACGAGACACCCCCGCTCGCACACAACATCCCCGCCGCAGCCTGACCGAGGGAGCCGGGCTGCCCCGGTCCTGGCACCGCCGGTCACCCCGTGGGCAGCCGAGGCGGATGGAGCTCCCACCTTGGGAATAACCCACGCTCTGGCCTGGGAAACAGCTCCCTCCCTGCTCCAGCCTCCATCCCTGCTCTCAGTTTCCATCCCTGCTTTCAGTTTCCATCCCTGCTCTCAGTTTCCATCCCTGCTCCAGCCTGCCCCGGGCTGCGCAGGGTGCTCTGCTCCCAGGATTGGGGTGCCGGGGGTGGCCACAGCCCCTCGGCAAGGCCTGAGTCAGGACTTCCCCTCTGTGCTCCCTGGGCAGCAGTCAGCAGGACGGGGGTGGGGGCACAGCTCCAGAATACTTCCCTTAATCTGGGGCACCGATCTGGCTGACAGGGGTGAAGCTGCTCCCCCAACACCCTCCCTGACTCCTCAGACGAACTCCAGGGAGCTCCTTCGGCCGCCTTATCAGGCTGCCCGTTGGGTTGCACAAAGCGGTTGGTCAAGATAAATTTGGGATCAAGATAAGAGGACCCACACTGCAACCGTCCTCCCGGTCTGCTCCGGGCAAGCTGGTGCTGTGTCTTACTGAGAATGGCCATTTCTTCCACTACCTGCCCTGTCCTCAGGTTCCTGCACTGGTCACAGCAACAAAGACCCCTCTCCAGGCCACCCTGTCCCCTAAGAGAGGGACCAAGGACACCTCTCCAGGCCACGCTGTCCCCTCAGAGCGGGACCCCGACACATGGGTCCCCACCAGCCCCTGCACTCTGTTGTATTTTTTGGCCCCAGGGCAGGAGACAAGACAAGACCCTGCCAGTAATTCCAGTGAGCCGGTGCCTCCTGTGCATCCCATGGGCTGGACCCCCACTGCCAGCCCACGGGGTGCCCACCCCAGCACAGCCAAGGGCCCCGTGCCCCAGGACCATCCCTGGGGACACAGAGAGCTGTCCAGGAAACACCTGGGCTCCTGGGCAAGCCCAGGTTTTACTGTCAGTCCTGTTTTTGCTCTGAGGGCTGAGCACATGACTCTCACCCCAACTCGCTGCCACCCACATGGGCACAGCCCAAGGGACAGTGAGTGGCCCCACAGGGGCTGCAGCCCCCCCTGGGGTGGGATGTGGACATCACAGTGCCCTTTCCCCATCCAGGCTCAGCCATCTGTGCCTGGGGAATGCCAGAGCATCCTGCTGTCCCCCTACACATGGAGCAGCCCCATCCCACCTCACTGCCATGGGGGGTTGTGGGGATGCTGTCCCTCCACACCAGAAAGGCACCTTCTGGGCTGCCCCCTCCTCACAGGGCACCCCAGACCCCTCTGCTCCCACACAGGGCACTGCTGCTGCACCAGGGCTCCCTCACCCTCCACACAGGGCACCCTGGAAAGACCCCAGGGCAGCCCCCCTTCCATGGGGGGCTGTTCCCTTCTACCCCAGGGCACCCAATTCTGCTCATCCCTGAGGCTGCCCTTCTCCAGCCAGGGGGGGACCCTGCCCTCACCTCACTGACACATGGGCTGTTCCCCCTGCAGGCAGGGGGCTTCCCAGCTGCCCTGGGGCCAACTCCCACCCCAGACAGGCTCCCTCAGGGCCACTCATCTTCAGGGAGACTCCCTGGTTCCTCCTCCCTCCAGAGTATCCCCAAGGCTGACCCCCCCAACCCAGAAAGACACCCTTGGTCTTGTTCCCCCACTCCAAGGCACCACAGAAAGGTATCCTGGGGCTGATCCTGCACCCTAGAAAGGCTCCCTCATCTGCACCCATGGCCCCCCAGCAGAGCCCCCCAGGGCCAACCCTCTCCACTCAGCATTCCTCAGCAAAGGGCCCCAGGTGTCCCCCACCCCGGGCACCCCAGGAAGGTTCCCTCTGGGCCATTCCTCTCCACTTAGAGTATCTCAGAAAGGCTCCCTTGGGTGTCCTCCACCACAGAGCACCCCGGGGCCATCCCTCCTCACTCAGAGCCTCCCAGAAAGACTCCCTCTGGGCCATTCCTCTCCACTCAGAGGATTCCAGAAAGGCTCCTCTGGCTGTCTCCCAACAAATGCACCCCAAAACACCCTCCTAGGGCCACCCATCTCCACCCAGGGCACCCCAGAAAGCCTCCCCTGGGGCCATCCCCCTCCACTTAGGGCATCCCTCAGATGTCCCCCAACTGACACCTCTGAAAGGCATCCCTGGAGGCACCCATCTCCAGCCAGGGCACCTTGGATAGCCACCCTCAGTCCACTTGCCCAGGGCACCCCAAAAAGGCTCCCCTGGGGCCATTGCTTTCCACTTAGAGCATCTCAGAAAGCCTCTGCTGGATTTCCCCCAACACAGACACCCCAGAAAGCCTCCCCTAAGGCCACCTCTCTCCACCCAGGGCACCTCAGTAGGGTGTCCCCTGCCAAAGCCGCCCAAGGGTCAATACCCTCCACTCCGGGCACCCCAAAAAGCCTCCCCTGGGGCCATTCCTTTCCACTCACAGCATCCCAGAAAGGCTCCCCTGGATGTCCCCCAACACAGACACCCCAGAAAGGCTTTCCAGGTCACCCCCATCCACCCTGGACACCCCAGAAAGGTTCTCCTGGAGGCATTCCTTTCCACTTAGAGCATCCCAGAAAGGCTCCCCTGGATGTCCCTCAATCCAGACACCCTAGAAAGGCTCCCCAGGGCCACCCCTTCCCACCCAGGGCACCTCAGTAGAGTGTTCCCCACTCAAGGCACCCCAGCAAAGCCCCCCAAGGGTCACCTCTCTCCACCCCAGGCACCCCACTCTCCACTTGGAGAATCCCAGAAAGGCTCCTCTGGATGCTCCCCAACAAAGACACTCCAAAACACTTGCCCAAGGGCCACCTGCCTCCACCCAGGGAACTCCAGAAACACTTCCCTGGGGCCATCCCTTTTCCACTGAGAGCATCCTAGAAAGCTTCCACTGGGTCACCTCCGCTCAGGGCACCCCAGAAAGGCTCTGCTGGAC